AAAACAAAATCATAAAATCTTACATAAAGATAACAATAACGGAAATTGTAAAAAGGGTATAAAGATAACAGTCGTTATTCTTTTTCTTTGTTCTTCTATTTCTTGGGTTTCCCTTCATCACGCATTCAACAAGTTGCCATGGTTACTAATCACCCATGTTGGACATAGCGCACAGCAGGGGGTTAAAACTTGACGAAAATCGGTTAATTTTTACCTTATTTAATTACCAATGAATGTACTACTTTATTGGTATTTGGTACTGTATCAATAATCGTTTAAAATGGCCAATTTTTGTCAAATTTAACAAAATATTTATTGAAATTTCAAGGTGAATATTAATAAAACAATTATTACCAAATATTTGTATTCATTTAAAAGATTGATTTGTGGTATTGGGTTCCCGACTGAGTGCAGCCGAGCGGCACTAATGAGGGTCGGACCTTCTTGGGGGTGAACAATAGACGGCTTATCAGACCCTCCCCTCCCCGTCCCGTGGTCTGGAGAAAGCATGTAAACAAACTATTGCACAAGAGTGACTTGACATTGAGCTGCTTCAACTATAATTTTGTCAAATGAACTGTGATGTTTCAAAATCAAAAACAATAATTTGGGACCATACTGCTTAACAACAATGGACTGCAATTATTGTTTAACATACAATCCATTTTTAACAAACTAAGATTATACGATTCAAATACAATTATAAAAGTTATCTTGGTATTTTACTTGGGGTAATGAAGTTATGTAGGCTAGTGTAATTCTCGGTTCATCAAGGTTCTACTGAATTATGTTTGGCAGTGAATAAGTGTAGAATGCAATTTATAAATTCAGGGATACACACCTTTTACACAGTTATAAAGTCTAATTGCCCAACATCAAATCTTACTCTGTGATAATCCAAATTTTAGTTTCAGAAAAAAACTTTGCAAGAATTGTATCCATCTTATAACAACTAGTTTTGAAGCTGATAAAAAAAATGGTCTTTGCCATTACTTCATCATAACCTCCAGTTTTTCATTGTCATCTGCTGTGAACAGCTGGCAAAACTACACTGTCTTCTACTGAATGCTTTTATATGTTTTTAAAATAAAAATAAAAAACTAGAAATTGTGTTGGTTGGAAATAATTTACCAGTTTTGTGAAATTATCTTGTCAATAAATGTTTCAAACATGTTTATTCATAAAAACGATTCTTATCCTATTTTTAAACTACTTTATCATGGCTATTCAAAGTATCTCAGAGTAAAATAGGTAAAGCCTTTATCTCAACTGTGATTTTTCTTGACACAATCCTCGTAGTAGTAAAAGGTTTTGTTTTAAAAATATGTGGTACAGTAATTGTTGTTAGAAAACCATGAATGTAGGATACTATCCATTTTCATAGTAATGTCTATGTATTAAAGTTAAAAATAATGGTTTAGATACAGTTCTGAGAAGAAAACCGCAAAAATACGGGTAGCCGCGTACCGTACCGATTTTGTACCGAGAACCGAGGTACAAAATATTGTACCGTACCGAACCGTACCGACCTTAAATTTTCTGTACCGCAGACCCCTAATAATATTTTATGATAAATATGCCCTTTCAAATAGCCATGATGATAATCATCATGGTTGACAATTTGAATTTTGTAAATGAGTAAATAAAAATATAACCTATTAACTTAGTACCGAAGGTATCGGTACCAACATTTCACAATTGATTCTTGGTCCCGGTACTTTTCCCAAGAACCGGTGGAACCGACATTTGACGTAAAGTACAGCTCGTGACATCTAAGCTGGCACTTGGCCGATCGCTAATAGTACCTATTTCAAAAACATTATCAGGGTGTCTACTACATTCTGGATAAAAAATTCATGGACAATTCCCGTACATTTAAGGACACTTTGCCGTAATCTTTGTCGGTGTCATTAGGCCTACCGAATAATTTTCCTGATTTGTCAAACTGTATTAATCTTGTTATTCACTGTAGTTGTACCAGAGAGTAAAGTAAATAATAATAGATAAGAGTTAAAAATTGCAAAATAGAAATTTATTGAAAGTAAACAAACATAGGCCTACCTATACTTTAGGTAAAGCTTTTATAGTGTAACAGAGAAACGCAATCATTGTCTCCTGCAATAGCGACAAATATCTCCATCCGTCACGTAAACTTCATAAAATAGCTTATCCGATCCAGGCGGATTAATTTGGCATGATTCGCCCTGGCACAACGTTAGGTTCTCGACTACTTTTGAAAAAAAATCTTTAATGCATATTGTTACTCAATTCTTAGTACAAAATCAAGGTATGGTAAGCGGCTATTAATAAGCAATAAGCACAGAGTAAGATTATTGTATTCATTTGTAAAGTTAATATCACACATAGCAATCATAAGTTGTTTATCTTAGGCTCAATTACATTTTCTTAATATATTTTACAGCTCTTTCAAGAATCAAAATACCCAGGCCTAAACCTAATTATTTAGGAGGGCCTATATAAACTGAGTAACAAACAATGAGGTTATAATAGCAGCAAAGTTACTATCATCATTCTAGTTCATAAGATTTTGATTGCTTAAAGCATACAACTCAATAAATAAATATATGGGAAACAAAAAACATTGAAACCTGAATAGCCAACAATATAAGACAAAGATACAGAAAATGCAATGACATAATTTGAAACCAAGCAGGCCTACATAGTGATAAAACATTAATGCAAACAACGAAACAACAATGCTTGTGGTTTTGTCAATTGAAAGATAAAATGTCCATAAAAAAGGGGTTAACTTACAAAATAAAGACTGTAGATTATTTACATGTTTAATATGAAACCATAAACAGTTTTATGGCACTAGGCACTGGCCACGGCAAATTGAATCTTCAAGCCGAAAGTACAAGTAAGAAGTGAAATTTAACAGCCATTATAAAGCTATTATTTTCAATATAAAAATGGTTTATTTTACCTTTTTGCGTCGAACGATCCGTGTGTAGTTAGTACAACTACAGCTGTTTCATACCACTAGGGTACATCATCAGGTTGTTGGCAGAACGTTAGATAAAACAGCATTCATTAATAGATGAACTTGTCGAAATAAATATGTCTATATACACATAATACACGAAAAACATTTAAAAAACACGAATTTACGAACTTGGCCAAGTAACGAACACACGAGACAGGCGCCGATGGATGTTGCGTCATGACTGCTGTCGTGTGTCCAAGCATCAGCTGTTACCCCTCCCCCCCAACTCCTTTATCAGGACCAGTTTTGTTTTGGTTTAAATGAATGGCAGTATTGTAGATGATATTAGATCTGAATGAAATTTGTTCGTACAATATATGGTCAGGGTGTTCTTTGGATGCCTTGTATATTTCGAACTCCTCTATTGTGTCCATGTATCTGCCTTTAGTACATAAATGCATAATTTCTAGATTACTATGTATGTCCGTGTAGTTGTGGTTTGCGTTAATTATGTGGTTGGTGAATGCTGATTTCGAGTTCTTTTTGGGTAGGTGTTCTTTAAACCTAGTAGCGAAAGAGCGAGCAGTTTGGCCGATGTAAAAGCTCGGGCAATCGTTACATGTCATTTTGTAAATACCTGTGCTGTTTACTTTATCAGAATGTGTTTTATTTTTTTTCTTTAAGCATAGTAGATAATTTGTTAGATGTTTTGTATGCAACGTGTACATCGTTCTTTGCCATTTCTTTTCTCAAGGTGTTATTGAGTACTACTCCAAATTCAGCACATACATACTTTTTGTTTCTGGGTTCTAGAATCTCTTTTGTTTTATTTTTCTGTTTTCTGATAAGTTTATCAATGAGAGAGCTTTCATATCCATTGGCAACGGCAATGTGCTTCAAAATGTTTATTTCATTGTTGTAGTTTTCTGTGGTAAGGGGTATGGATAATAGTATGTGAACGAAACTATTGTAAGCAGCTGTCTTGTGGTTGAAAGGATGGTGTGATGACGAATGGATGGTCTGGTCAGTTGTTGTTGGTTTTCTGTAGATTTTGAATTCCATGATGTGATCAGTTCTTGTTATTGTTACGTCTAAGAAATTAATTGATTTGTTAGCTTCGGTTTCGAGGTATTATTTTCACGATAAAATAGGTTTGGGATCTAATAATAATTACCCTAGTAATAAAAAAAAGTTGTAATGGAATAAAAGTGATGCAACTTTTATGAGCTAGCTGCTGAGTCAACAGTTCTTGGAAGTACTTGACTTGACACTTGATTGTCGTGATAAAATATTAATGGGTTTGAGATTGTTAATGGGATTTTTATTGCATAATTACTCTAGTAATAAGTTATGAAAATGCAAACAAACATCTGATAAACCTTTTATGTGCTCCTAACCAACTAGCGATCAATAAAATTATGGCCCATTAAAAATTTAAGGACATTGTCTGGCATTTAAGGACAATTCCCGTACATTTCATTGCCAGTAAAAATTTAAGTACAATTCCCGGTTTTCCCGGTTGGTAGACACCCTGATTATGTGCCGTCATGCGGGTTGTATCAACTGTCCTCGGGACCCATATGAAGGCGCTCAAGTACATAATACAAGGGGAGTCAACCCCTTGAGGCAGCGGAAATGTTTGCAGTCCGGTCTTTTCCCTAACTCCACCCTTCTCCCGCCTACACTGCCCGCGCTAGGCCAAGTGCCAGCTTAGGTGTCACGAGCTGTACTATCACTGTACCATCACTAGTTTTAATTTCTAATGTATTTTGTTCAGTAGTCAATAACTGCAGAAATGCGTAATGTAAGCCAAGGGGAGATTTGAATGGTTGTTGTTTTTGGTCAGTTACATTACAAAGCTTTATATTGCAAGTATGGTACCTTATTTAACTTATTGTAAGTACGACAGCCATTTCTCTAGGGGTACAATTTTTATGTCATGTTTCGCTTACAATACAATAGATATTTAACTTCATAGAACAAAGTAACAACAAATTAATAAGAAGATTAATTGAAAACTCCCGCGTAGAGTTACCAAATTAATACACTTTACCTCGGTTTTCAAGGTCTTGAGCTCGTCCACAGGCTTGTTTGCTTGTTCAATGGGTGTAGGCAGGCTGGGAGTGTGAGGCGTAGCAGTCGGTGTAGCAACAGCTGTTGGTGGAGGGGGCTCAACAGAGCTGGGCTCTTCTTTCTTGACAGGAGCAGAGGAGTCAAACTCAGAAACATAGTCGTCAATGAGAGACGGGGTGTGTAGCATTGTATCCTTGGGAGGGTCGGTAGGGATGGCTGCCTCAACAACAGGCTGCTCAGGGACAGGGGGTGGGTCTTCTGTAGCAGCTGCCGTAGGCTCATCTTGGGCAGCCTCCTCCGGCACTGCTACCAGGTCTTCTTCCTCAATGTGGTCTAAGACACATCAGATTAAAATTAGAATCTTTTATGAACTCAATAAAAACTATTTAATATTACATATCACACCTATCGACGAATACAGTCCTCAAAACAAACAGTGTCAACAAAATTTAAGACTATCCTATATTTTGAAATACAGTAAACTTCCTCTAATCTGGCATTCGCAGGACTTGACACATGTTCATATATTCATATTCAAACATCTTTATTCATCATAAGTCATGTACATTGGTGGTACAGTGAATAGTGTCAGAATACTTAAAATAAAAATACTATATCTATGTATGGGAGGTGGAAAATTCCTCAAAAGAATATAATGCTAAATTTGTTAAATAATCTTTTAGAATTTTCTTGAATTTAGATAGGTTTGTTTCTTTTTTTATCAATTCAGGGACAAATTTTAGAAACTCGTTACCAGCGTATGAGGTTTTTTTTTTCAAACATGCAGGATGATGAAATATTCCAGATTACAGGATGAATATCGGGAATATTGTGGATTAAGCAAAAAATTACATGGAGTTGTGTAGGCATATTTACTCTTAAAACAGCTAAACTACTCTTAAAATCCTTTATTTGTTACTACACACCAAACTTAATACAATATAGATAACAATGACATTAAAACATCACTTATTCTTTTTCTGTGTTCTTCTATTCTTTATTGGGGTTGTCTTCACCACACATTCAACAAGTTGTCATGGTTACTTATCACCCAACCAGGGCCCTGTTTCGTAAAAATACTAGTGTTGTAAGAATATATTACTTACGTCAATCAGCTCATCAGTACATGTACTGAGGTGAAACTCACGACTCAATGAGCTGATTGACGTAAGTAATATATTCTTACAATAATATCCACAGCTCAGGGGCTTAACAATGAATTAAAAAAAAAAAAAAAAAATACTAGTCTAGTATTACTAGTGGTTTTTACTTGTGTAGACAGCAAGTGTGTTTCATAAAGTTTTACTCTTGTAAATTACACTGATAAATACTTGCCATTTTCTAACAAACTCTCTACACCCGTATTATTTGTAGTACACTAGTATTTTTTAAAAGAGTGATATTTCATTACTTACATCATTGTAAAAATGAATTATTAAGCTTTTTTGCCAGTGCAAATTGGCTCACGTTAGATAAAAAATAGTTTTGCGAGTGCTAAATATGATAATTATTAGAAATAAATTACAAGCAATAAATGTACGACGTAGTACAAAATGAGTGAAATTGAATTTTATAATGTACGTATGTACAATCTCCCTATTAGAATAATTATAATTATAAGTTATCAATTTGTGTGAAATTTTAGTATAATTTTACATGAGTTAAATGTGATGGTTATATCAACTATTTAGCTATAATAACAGAGAAAAGATTAAGTTTCGAGAGAAACCAAATTAAAACCGCATACCGTATTGTATACAAAAATCTTCAAAAATGTATCCAACATTGCAACATTAATCAAATTATTTTACACCCAAGGCTCTCGGTTTTATTTAAGGACATTTTGATAGGAAATAATAGTAAGACAATTTTAAAGAGGAGTTGCATTGTGTTTTTTTTAGGTGCTAATTATTTGCTTCCCTAAATAGCTAAAAAACAATACTTAAACTGTCTAACCGTTTCCAAGCATTAAACAGCCTTGATCAAGAAGACTCAGAGGTAAATATAATTGACAAGGTTTGGAAGAACATCAAAGAGACCCTGCAAGACTGTGCAAAAGAAGTTTGTGGGAAAAGGGAAAGGAAAACAAAAAACCATGGTTTGACGAAGAATGTAAAGCTAATGTCTTAACCCTCCGAGTGTCACTCGTCGAAAAATCGACGCGCGACTCGACGCGCGAACATCGTTTACGGCGAAGGCTCTATGACTGACTGAATCGGATTGAACTGGATCGAGTTAGGTATCGTTATTCTCGTTATATTCTAAGCTTTCTCCAGAGGTCTGTCTCAGCGCTGTATGTTCTCCGAGCCGATCTTAATTGTAGCAGACAGCTGACGTGCGTATTTGTAAATAGCTAGGTTACCCTCGGACCGATGACTGATGTGTTTTATTACGTTTATCATTGTTTTAGTGTTAAAAATCAAAAGTAGTGATATACATACGTGGTGCATTATAAGAAGATTTAAGTGATTTTGAAGGGCTGGTTGATGATCCTGAAGAAGTAGGTAGTGATATTGATGTAAATTATCAGCCAGATTCCTAGCTATGGTTAGGCTATGCATTCTTAGCTAAACGCTATGTACTGAAATCTGTTTTTTGCCCATAACTTATTTATTTGCAAATCTACTTCCTTATATTATTATATATTTGTAATCCTCATAAAATTTAGAACAAAGTGTCTATTTTCAAATATTTATAGGCCTATAATTTATCCAATTTCATTGAGCGCGAACTTATTTTTTTTTTTTTAATTTTCCAAAATATTTTTTTTTACCTAAAAAATTTTTTTGAAACAAATGTTCCTTATGTATAATATTGAAGCCCATGATTTTCCAAACAAAATGGTATATAGAACAGTAGAATTAACATTGTTTTAAGCTTCTCAGATCGGTTTTAATAAAACCTTGCAAATGCGCCAAAAATAGGCGGACATTAAGGCCTAAACTATGGACATTCGGAGGGTTAAGCCCCGTGTACACGTAGCAAGTTTACTAGCAGCTAGTATTCGCAGCTAGCACTAGCTGGGCACATTAGCCCGAAAATTCCCATCTACACGTGGCTAGTTATTAGCGCTTATTATTAGCGCTAGTCATGTAGAAGTGAAGTGTTCATTGGTCGCAATAGTCATTTCAGTTTAGCACAAAATGTCTTCTGTTCCTTTTAATTTTTAAGAATTGGTGTACAAGAGTTGTGTTAACATGAACTTAATCTGTGTGGGTTCGAAAGTGGATTATGAGGCGAGAATTTCTTGGTGCGTCCAATACTCTTTTAAGAGAACTGGCGTTGGGAGACCAGAGTACTTTAAGTTTTTGAGAATGAATGCTTTAAAGTTTGAAGAACTGTTGGAACTAATCACTCCACTGATTAAGAAAAATGATACTGTGATCACTGGCGTATGGCGAGTGGCAATTAGCACTAGCAGAAAGAAGTGCAAATGCTCCGCTAGTGCCGCGCTAGTTCGCTAGCGCTAGTGGTCACGTGACCACCCCCACCACTTATTAGCGCTAGTAATATCAAACATGTTCAAAACGACTAGCAGCGAGTAAAATGCTAGCGCGCTAGTAAATTTTTACACTAGTAGACCGTTTACACAAAGCGAATTTACTAGTGCTAATCAACTAGCTGCTAGTACTAGCCTCGTGTACACGGGGCTTTACAAAGGAAAAAAGCAAAAGAAGTCTGGCTCAATAAGAAACAAGACAGAGATAGAGAAAACTATACAAAAATCTCAAGAGAGACAGTAAAAGTGCTTCGGAGGAAAAAAAGAGAATGGGTAAACCAAATCTTAGAGAAAGCTGAACAGGACAGGACAGCAAACAACAGTAGAGACTTCTACCGATCAATAAGATTTTTTAGGAAGGGATACAGTCCAATGCCATATGGCATAAAAAAACAAATCAGGACAACTGGTGGTGCAGAGCAAAGAAGGACTACAAGTATGGCAGGAACATTTCAAAGATCTTTTGAATGTAAGACAGTCAGAACAAGATGAAGAAGAGGAGGAAGCGTACCAGAATGTAGATCCAATGGTACCATACCCAACAATTCAAGAAGTAGAAACGTCAATCAAGGAATTAAAAAACAATAAAGCCCCAGGGGAGGACTCTATTCCATCGGAAGTAATCAAAGCAGGAGGCACAGAACTGGCAAGGGAGATTCATAAACTGATCATTGATATTTCTTGGGACAACGAATTGATTCCAAATGAGTGGAAGGAAGCAGTTATCACTCCCATTCACAAGAAAGGAGACAAAAATGAATGCACCAATTACATAGAAATTTCCCTCCTCAACTGCACCTACAAAGCACTATCAAAGATTTTACAAAAAAGACTAGATGAATATACATCAAATATCATAGGAGACCATGAAGCCGGCTTTACAAGAGGAAGATCAACCACGGACCAAATTTTTATACTGAAAGAGGCAATTGCCAAATATTATGAATTCAACAAGTCCTTTCTCTGCCTTTTCATTGACTTCTCCAAAGCGTACGACTCGATCACTAGGAGAAAACTCTGGAAAATAATGGAAAAGTATGGAATACCTAAAAAGTTAATAAATCTATCAAAGTCAACTGTATCAGGATCTAAATGCAAGGTTAAAGTCAATGGAGAATTCTCAGAGGATTTTGATATAAATACTGGTGTGAGACAAGGAGATAGTTTGTCCCCATTGCTATTCAACCTAGCTCTGGAAGACTCTCTACAAGAATTACAAAAGCTAGAAGCTAGAATTACTATGGGAACCAACATAAATATCCTGGCATTTGCAGATGATGTGGCACTTGTAGCCAAAAACGAAGAAGAACTAAAAGTTATGGTCTCAAAACTTATAAACCACACTAAAAAGTTGCCTTAAATATCAATGAAGACAAAACCAAGATAATGAAATGTGGAAGAGCTACCCAATTAAATAAAGAAAATCATGTAGAAATAGAAGGACACAAATTTTATAAAGTAAACAATTTCTCTTACCTAGGAGTAATGTTGACGAATAATGATGAAGAAGACTCTGAAATTCAGCAAAGATTAAATGCAGCACATAAAAGTTTATCGGCACGCCACAAATTGTTGAGTTCTCGCCTAATCTCACAGAAAACTAAAATCCGTATATACAAAACTATAATAAGACCAGTATTACTATATGGCTCAGAGAATTGGGTGATAAGCAAGAGAACCGAGAAACGACTTATAGTGTTCGAAAACAAGATTTTAAGGAAAATCTTTGGACCAACCTTTGAAAATGGAGAATGGAGAGTTAAGCACAACAGGGAGTTGAGAGGGTTGTACAGGGACCCAGATATTGTGGCTGAGGTGAGAAGTAGGAGATTGA